TGCCGGCGGGGCGAGAACGTGCCGCACACTGACACATATATATAGCAGGCGACACTATATTTATGTATATATATCAAGAGTACATAATCTCCCATTATGTACTCTTGATATATGTATATATTGTTGTTAACCATCATTATATCAGGAGCTAAATAATAACAGATTATTGTTATTGTATCATGATATTGCATCATGATTATGCTGGTATGTCGGCTCACCCAGACTGTTCTAGGTGATTGCTGTTGAAGAATTGTCTCATCATGCCAGCGACCCGCGATAGCTCGCCGCGAATCACGTCCCTGTGTCGTCGCCGCCGACCGCAAAGCACGCCCGACATACACGTAGATTGCAGGCGCCCTCTCGCACCTGCTTGGTACGGCACCTCCTGCCTAGTGTCTCCTTTCTCTTTCTGTCTCTCTCTCTCTCTCTCTCTCTCTTCCTCTCTCTCACTCTTTCTCTTTGTCTGTCTGTCTGCCAGCCTACACGTGTCTTGTCTCTCTCTCTTGCCTGCCTAAGCCGCCTTCTGTCAAGTGTCTCCTCTCTCTCTTTCTTTCTCTCGCGTCTTCGTCTAGGACGTGACCTGTCTGTCATGCGCCGGCGCGGCAGGTCACGTAGTCGATGACACGTGACACTGCGTGCGACGGTGTCACGCCTGCGAGTGACACGAGACACTGCATGCGACGGTGTCACGCCTGGGAGGTGACACGAGACACTGCCTGCCGACGGTGTTCACGCCTGGAGCGTGACACGAGACACTGCGTGTGACGGTGTCACCGCCTGGAGGTGACACGAGAACACTGCGTGTGACGGTGTCACGCCTGGAGGTGAACACGAGACACTGAGTGCGACGGTGTCACGCCTGGAGGTGACACGAGACACTGCATGCGACGGTGTCACGCCTGGAGGTGACACGAGACACTGCATGCGACGGTGTCACACCGAGAGGTGACACGAGACACTGCGTGTGTACGGTGTCACGCCTGGAGGTGACACGAAACACTGTGTGTGACGGTGTCACGCCTGGAGGTGACACGAGACACTGCGTGTGACGGTGTCACGCCTGGAGGTGACACGAGGACACTGAGTGCGACGGTGTCACACCTGGAGGTGACACGAGACACTGAGTGCGCACGGTGCACGCCTGGAGCTGTGACACGAGACACTGCGTGCCGACGGTGTCACGCCTGGAGGTGACACGTGACACTGAGTGCCGACGGTGTCACACCTGGAGGTGACACGAGACACTGCGCTGTGACGGTGTCACGCCTGGAGGTGACACGTGACACTGAGTGCGACGGTGTCACGCCTGGAGGTTGAACGTTGACACTGATGTGCGACGCGTGTCACACCGAGAGGTGACACGAGACACTGCGTGTGACGGTGTCACGCCTGGAGGTGACACGAGACACTGCGTGTGACGGTGTCACGCCTGGAGGTGACACGTGACACTGAGTGCGACGGTGTCACACCTGGAGGTGACACGAGACACTGCGTGTGACGGTGTCACGCCTGGAGGTGACACGTGACACTGAGTGCGACGGTGTCACGCCTGGAGGTGACACGTGACACTGAGTGCGACGGTGTCACGCCTGGAGGTGACACGAGACACTGCGTGTGACGGTGTCACGCCTGGAGGTGACACGAGACACTGCGTGCGACGGTGTCACACCTGGAGGTGACACGCGACACTGCGTGCGACGGTGTCACACCTGGAGGTGACGACCGGGTCACGATTGCGTCTACCACACGTCGGCACGGTAACGACGACGACCGCGTGTCCCGACGATTCGGAATTCCGATCACTGCTCAACAAACCGGTCGCAGTTTCGCCGGAACGACGATAAAGAGAGAAGTAGTCCACGCCAGGAAAATTGCTGCGGGGACGCACACAAGCGCTCTCTACCCACCAACACGAAACGCAGCAGCCGCAAATATTACCGATGGCATGCAACACAAACACACAAACACACGCGCGCGCGCCCGTCCGCGCAAACACACAGCAGTCATAGATCTCGCCGTGACGCAGGAGTGACCCACATAGTCTCGCCGCTGCTCTACCTCCCCCGTGTGACGCCACCAGCCGCGCCCCCGTAAACCGACCAATCAGAAGCGCCGCCTGTGGCGGTGACGTCATGCGGTATTGATCATGACGAGAAGTGTGAGAGAGCGCACGTAGGCACGCATCGGTCACGGAGCAACCAGAGCCGTATGTAGAAACGTATATATCTCTATATCGTATAGAGACGTATATCTCTATATCGTATAGAGACGTATATCTCTATATCGTATAGAGATATATATCAGGAATTAATATTGTCAAATTTGTCATTATTAACTCCTGATATATATCTCTATTATATACGGCTCTGGGAGCTATGCTCACATGCATGTCCTTTCTTACCACAGCCACTATTGCCACTATTCGACCCACGGGGAACAAATTGCCTGGATTATTTTCCTATTAATAAATGTCTTGAAACTGAATAATAAAAGGCACATTTTTACAGTTCTAAAGGAGCAATTACGCTTCCCAAAGCCGCACGAATTTGTTATGCATCTTGGCCTCATTCTTGCAGTTGTTACGCGACCTTATTCTCTGTTTACACTTTCCAAACAGGGCATGTACAGATTCCCATAGCTTAGGGGCCCACCATGTCTAAATCAGGCCCTGGTCGTTAAAATGATGGTAAATAAACACGACGTGTATTTACTACGAAAGTCTTAACGTTTCTCCTACTCTCTATCGCCAATTATAAGCAATAATTCCCTGTAAATACCATTCAAATGCCTCTCTGCAACACACAAGCTCATCGCACGCACGCCACATGTGCACAAACTCACAGATGTGGTGGTGGGGAGTGCATCTGGACCACCAACACATTCCATTGTAATTGTAATCCCACTTGGATCCACGAAAATCCATTTGTGCTGCTACTGGCATTAGTAGGAACATAGATTAATCCATTGCTCAGAGAACGCAAATGCCATTCTAAGCTATTTAGATCGATCCCCCGGGCACAAATTTCACCTGCCTTGCCTCACGCCCACTGGAGAACTTTTACTTAGCTAAAGTAAGACATTAGTGTAGAGTAGTCATTTGAATCTCCAGACGAAGGGTGAGATGATTCATCGATATATCAATGTATCGCAATGAACATCTAGGCAATACACGCATTGATACGTTTAACTATTAACGATCTAAACGTATCAATACTCTACTTAATAAAATCCATATCGTTTGGCAACAGTTTTATCAGAAAACAAAGGAAGCCGAACACAATTCGCAGAACATAATTTGCAGTTGTTTACTAAGCGCTTAACGATACTCATAGTTTTCTGGAAAGTTTTACCTGAAAGTATTGCGATGCGTATCGTATCGTTATACGGATCATGTGACGAGATACCTTCTACTCCAGACACTGATACAGATACAGTCAGGAGTCTATCAATATTGACTGACTGTCTATTGATAAACTCCTGAGACAGTCACTGAGCACTTTATCTGCATACGCAAGATTTCACATCGCCATGTATTCACCCCCACATGGTGAGGTAACTAGATTTGTTGCCTTTATATATGGCCAATATACACGTTCACTTTCTACTCACAGTCACAGTTACTGATATGTGTGGGCAAATATTTACTCTGGCATGTCCAAAAATGCTAGCACGATCCTTCTCGCCCGCCTTTTCAGTTAAAAGATTTCTCATTGGTGATGCAACTAATTCTTATTAGTAATTAGTGGTGCAGGATGAGCAAACTCACTCCGATTGACAATTAACTATTTACTGTGTGCACACATGATGTATGTGACCAAGTGACATCGTTAGGCCAAAACTAGCGCTCATAGGGTCTATGTCCCCCAGGGTACTGCCGGAACGTACCCTGGTCACTATTTGATATGGCTTAGGGTTAGGATTAGGGTTAGGGTTAGGTTAGGGTAGGATTAGGGTTAGGGTTCGGCTTCGGTTAGGGAGTAGGCGTAGGCGACTCCCTAACTCGTTAGTTGGAGTAAGAAGAGGTATGGTTGGCATATTGATAAGTACCAGGGACCGGTACGTTCCGATTACCGCGACCGATACCCAGGCGCTACGTATCCGCGAGTCACCCTGGCGGGACATAGACCCTCTTAGCAATACTCAGGGATCGAGATTGAGTTAATTAAATTTTCGCTGAATTAAACATTAGCAAACAGAAGGACGCGAGCAATGCGAGGACCCGTAGGTCATCGCATGCTGGGGCTGTCCGGGGCATGCTCCCCCGAATATTTTTAAAAAAGAATTGGTGCAACTTTGGTGCATTCTAAGCTATTCTGAACACATTATAGGAGACTCTTGGAATCACCTTTCAAGTTGTCAAAAGGAACGCAAACGAATTGAATAGGAATATTCAGGGGAGCTGAAATTAGGGCAAGTTTTTTTATTAAATGTCTAGAGCATAATGATATTTTTCTGTTCCACCCGTCGCATGCATTGTTTTACTAGACATAAGCTGCCTTGCTGCGACGAGATTTTGACGATGAAAAATCTCTC